TAAATTTCTCTTCACTCTGTCGATTCTTATTTCTTTCAGTAACTTCGGCAGCATTAACGGCTAAAGAGAAAGTTTCAGGGTTCATAGCAATCACGAATTCTCGAATAGAAGGTTTCAGACCCCAAATATATCTTTCTACTTTTCGGGATTCTGAAGATACATAAAGTTCAGCAAATCGGGAAAACTCAATAAATTTCTCAGTATAATCCCGCATAGATCTGCTCCCTTGCTCTAGCTTAAGAAAATCTTCCTCCATTTGTCTTACTGCTGTCGTAGGACAGAATTGTGTATTAAATTTACTCACAAATTCTTCCCAATATATTTTTTGCAGTATATTTGGTTGTGCCGAGGACTCCACATCCCACCAATATAAGGCATTAGATTTGAGCATAGATACTGCGAATCTAACCTTATCTTCTTCAGAACACCTACTAGTGTTAAATACTGATTCAATCTCTTTTATCCAGCACATTGCTTTAACTGGATCTCTCTCTCCTGAAAAGGTTGGAGGTTTACATGTCAGAAACATCTTTATATCTCCTCCCCGATTATTGCTGCCTGCTGAAGGAGCTAAAGGATTAACTTCAACTTGCTCAGTTTCTATTCTAGCTGGCAGTCCCGTAATAGATATTAGAGTTTCCCTTAGTTTTCCCATTTCTTCTGCTAGATCATTTCTAGTTATAAACTCTGATTGTTGCCTTTGTTCTTGTTGAGCATTCCCAAAAATAGATTTCCTTTGATCAGAGAAAATTTCAGCATGACTCCTCTCAGGAATCTGACTCTTCCCTTGATTCCTACCCGTACCCTTTCCACGACCTCTACTCCTTGAAACATAGGTTGATGGATTAACAGGAGATTCCTCCCTTTCTTCATATACAGGGCGGGCAGTTCTCTCTAACCTTCGTGATCGACTAGACATCTGTAGATATTTTAGTATTAAATATCACGTATTCACATTCCCAAATATAATATGGTGTCCGAGTATAGGTATGTACCTGTAAATTCATAATTACATTGGCCATTTGTAATTCGAATTCACCTTACATACTGTTCTCTTTAACCCATTATATTTTATTCC